GCCCGTGGGCGGAGGACCCGGCTCAGAGCGAGGTGCGCGGGGCGGGCGGGGGGACCCCAGGCTCCCGGGTACACCCGCTGGGGCCGGCTGCAGCAGACAAGGCTCAGAGGCTGCACCTCCCTAACTAACCGCCCCCCTTTGAATGGGAGAACAGAGCGCTCAGGCAGAGACTCGCTTCCCCAAGTCACACAGCTGCTAAATGGCAGAACGGGGACTGGAGACCCGGCCTGTTTCCCAAGGGTTTTGAAGCACGCTGTCCTCACTGAAGTGGAGATGAACAATAACACCAGTAATTATTATTATAAAATGTTAGATTTGGGAAATATGGGTGGCGCTATTACTTGGATATTCAGGACTACGAATGTGATTTCATGCTGGAAGAAGCCAGCCACTCTGTCCCCCTTGGGCTTGATGGCCTGGACCCCTCATTCATGAAACATTTGCTGGGAAGCTTTCTGTGCCAGGCACTCTGCAGGAAACTGGAGGCAGAGAGAGAAACCAGAACAGCCCCCATATCAAGCAGAAGGAGAAATTCCTCAGACACCAGTCCCCGACGCAGGTGGAGGCAACGCAGGGGCCTCAGACAGGGCTCCTGGAGATGTCACCTCTGGCTGATTGCAGGGAAAACTCAGGGAGGGAGCGGCCCCTGACCTGGATCTTTAAGAGCGGGTCATGTGGGGACATTTGGAAATGGGCAGTCAGTGTTAGCAACAACACCCCAGGTGAGTGAGAAAAAGAGTAGTTTGCTTTGCCTAGAATGTAGGGGTGAATTAGGAGGCCACACTATAGAGGGGACAAGGTGGGGCGTCGGTAGTGGGGAGCTTTGGAGGGATTCCAAGCAGAGAATGACAGTGCAGTGGCTGCCCATGGTTCATCTGGTTGGAGGCGAGCCCTCAGCTGGAGTGGGGGTGTTGCATCAGGATCCTTGTGGCTCTGAGGGTCTGCGAATTGGCCAGCCTGGGAGCACAAGGCTTCAGGGCCCCCTCAGTGTAGCAGGCCTGCGGCTGAAGCATGCGGCTGGAGTGGCACGGGGTCCAGCTCGAACTGGGAGACTGCTGGGCTATGGGGATAGCCTGTGATAGTGTTTGTGACTTCCATAGCGTTCTCGGGAATAGTTTGGGAAAAAGTGCCGTTAGTATTCCTGTAACACAGGTGGCCTCGTGGACACGAGCAGCAGTTAAGCAGCCTGTCTCTCTCTGTGCAGTGAGCAGTTATTTATCTATTTTTTGATGCATCCCCAGGGACCAACAGGGAGCTATAAACAGGGCAGCCTGTTTGGGCAGTTGAAAGGGGAAATTGGTTGTACAAAGATTACAGATTCACCTTCGTGCCACTCTTTATTATAAACTCTTCAAACAATTCTGTGCAGATGAACTGTTAAAATGAAGTAATTGTCTTACAGGTGAGACACACAGAGCGCACTAGAGGACTTTATAAATGTATCTTTAATTGGTTCAGTGTTATCTTTTATGAAGCACTCCATTACATAGTAGCACCTGAATGCGATGGGTAGATGCGGTCCATGTAAATCAAATTACCCAAGCCAGGCACGTTATAGCCATTTCCCTAAGATATGAGTCTGGGCATCTTCTAGATGCTTCTGGCCTCACCTTGACCCCTCACCTGCTGGAGAAGAGCAAGGATTCCCCAAGGCTCTACTTCTCATTACTCACTGGTTCCATATGTGAATGCTTAGAAACGTTCTGTGTGTTATATGAAATATATATTCTGTGTGCTTTGCAGCTTCTCTATCTAATGGGTATTTGGGAAGAGGGACAGGATGAGATACTGTTTCGTAGCAATTCCTTTGGTGAATGATGTTAATCAGTGGTATAAGGCAGGGACCTGCAGTCTGGAATAAGAAAACAGACCTGGAATTGAAATCTAGTTCCCTCACTAACTACTTGTGTGACTTTGGGTCTGACCCTTAACTCATCTGAGCCTCCGATTCTTCATCTGTGAAATGGTGATCATACCAAGCAGCTCACAGTTGCTAAGCAGTCTAACAGCATGAGAGGAGGGCTGCAGAAATGTCGGCCAAGGAGGCTGTGGAGTGTATGGGGAGAAGCAGTTAGGATTAGGAGCCTGACCTTGGAGGTAGGCTAACCTGAGCCTAGGTGTGGGTTCTGCCCTTTCCCGCTGTGTGATTTTGGATGTGTTCCTGAACTGCTGCGAACATCAGGAAATAACCATATCTATTTTGTGTTGATTTGAGGATCATACCTAGCTCAGTTTCTGGACAATAGAACAAGAGAACATTATAATTGAAAGGGACTTAGAAGTCCTCATTACTCTAACACCACCCCACCCCCCATCCCTGCCATGGAAATTTTATTTTTATCAACCTAACTGTGCTTAAATATTCCCAGTGACGGAAACTACAATCTGCACAAGGTGCTCCATTCCATTATTGCATCATCTTCAAGGAAAGAAAATAATCTTTCTATATGGCCCAAGGCTGCCTCAGTGTAACTTCCACATATTGGTCCTATTCTGTGCTCTGTGTTTTTTTAAAAAATAAAACATTGGTCTTTTTAAAAAAATATTTTTTTTTGAGGTAAGTGTAGATTCATATGCAGTGGTAAGAAATAATACAGAGATTCTTTGTACCTTTACTCAGTTTCCCCCAGTGGCAACAACTTGCAAAATTGCAATACAAGACCACAACCAGAAGACTGACATTGACCTGGTGGAGATGCAGGACATTCCCATCACCACCAGAATCCCCCATGTTGCCTTTTTATAGCCACACCCCTTCCCTCTCATCACTTCCTTAACCCCAGGCAATCACTACTTGTTCTCTATTTCTCTAATTCTGTCATTTCAAAAATGTTACACAAATAGGATCATACATTATACAACCTTTGTCATTGTTTTTTTTTCACTCAGCACAATTCTTTGGAGATTGATCCAGGTCCCTGCATGCATCAATAGTTTGTTCTTTTTAATTCCGTAGTAGTAGTAGCCCATAGTATGGCTGTACCATGATTTGTTTAACCGTTCACCTATGGAAGGCCATCTAGGTTGTTTCCAGTTTTGGGCTATTATGAATAAGCTGCTATAACATTTGTGTACAGATTTTTGAGGGAATATAAGTCTTCATTGTCTTCAATGTCTGGGATAAATGGCTAGGAGTGCGGTTTCTGGATCACATGGTAGTTGCAGGTGAAGTTTTCAGAGAAATCGAGACTTCTTCCAGAGTGATTGTGCCATTTCGTATTCTCACCAGCAATTGATGAGTGATCCAGTCATCCTGCACCCTTGCCAGCATTTCGCGGTCACTGTTTTTTATTTTAGCTATTGTGATAGGCCTGTAGGGCTATCTCATCATGGTTTTAATCTGCATTTCCACAATGGCTGATGATGTTTAAGGTGGCTTCCTTCACATTTGTGTCTCTTCTTTGATAAAATGTGTCTTTGTGTGTTTTGTTCAAGTTCTAATTATATTCTCTGCTTTTATATTGACAAGTTTTGAGAGTTTGCTATATGTTCTCATACGAGTCCGTTCTTGGATATGTGGCTTGCAAATATTCTCTCCCACTTTGTAGTCTGTCTTTTTGTCTTTTTCACGGGTCTTGTACAGGGCAAAAGTGTTTAATTTCTGATTGTCCGCCTTTCCTTTTATGGGTAGTACTTTTGGTATCGAGTCTAAGAGCTCCGTGCTCACTCTAGACCCTGAGGATGTCTCTCCTGTGTGTTTTTTGTCTGTGATTCATAGTTTTACATTTTACATCTAGGTTTCTGACCCACTTTGAATTAGTTTTTGTGCAAGGTGTGAGAATTAGGGCGAGGTTTTTTGTTTCTTTGCTTGTTCTTTCCCTGTGAAAGTCCAGTTGCTCCAGCAAAACAATTTGTTAAAAATCTTGTATAAAATAACATATAACCTTGGGCAAGACTAATTATGTACCCGGTTCTCTTTCCTCTGTCTTAAAAGTGAGGGGGTTGTATGAGGGCTGGATGGGTGTCATTCAGGATCCATTTCTGGAAGGTCTGGGGTCCCAAGAACCTGGGTAGCAGCAACAATAGAGCAGATGGGGCTCTCATGCCCCTCGCTGACTTCATTCAGGGCAGGGCTGCTTTCTATGTTTTATATTTTTAAGGGTCTATCTGATATTTGATTTGATAAGGGCCCCACTGCTCAAAATAAGATTGGAGAGCACTGAGTTAGATAAAATCTGAAGAACCTTTCCGAGTGTTCGGTGTGAGAAATCACTTTTCCCCTTACATATTAGCTTTCAGGCGCCACTCTGAGTTTCCTGAGTGCTTACTCATATGAAATGTTTTCCTTGTGATCCCGTCACCCCTCTTTCTAAATATGACAGGCTTCATGAAATCAGTGAAGTTACATTTCATACACCAGTTTACAAGTTGCATGTCAGAATTTAAAATGTGTTCAATGTATTAAAATTGTACAGTAGAATCATCCACAGAATTATCATGGCTGAAAGAGAGGAAAGAAGCTAGAATCACACATAAGCCACGAACCATTCGACCTTTACAAACAGCTGGCCCTCTCCTGCCCTGCGCCTGCCTCGCTCTTGCCGGTTCACAAGCTCTGGCCAACAGCGCTCAGCCAGGTCCTGAAGGGTTATTCGCACGGCTTTTGGAGATCAGCAGTTCAGCCAGCCTTAGGCCTTCTTGTGCCTGCCTTCAAAACGACGAACCTGAGACTCAGGCCCTTCGAGTGGCTTTCCCAAAGGAACAGAACTGGCAAGTAGAAGACCTGAGACAAGAGCTCGTATTTTTAACACCTAGTCCAGTTTTCCTCCCCTCTCTTTATTTTATCATATAAAGGCTTCAGTGGGTACTTTCCAAAAGTTGGCATTTTCTGACACTTTTTATCAGTAAAATGGGTTAATAACAAATGAACTCAAGATAGTTGGAGGTTTTTAAAAAATGAAATAGGATTAATTGAGTTAGAGCACTTTGAAAATAAAAGTTGCTCTGCAAAGTGCTCCCTGTTTCAATGATGGTGGTTATTGTGAGCTTGGCTAGGTCTCTGACTTCTAGCAGGCAGCTGCTGCGCTTGCCGATCCCCATTCGTTGGAAATGTGTTTGTTTATATTGTAGCATATTATCTGTTTTTCCTTTTAGTACCCACGTGGCCAAATTGTGAACTGCCATATTAATAAGACTCAAACGTATTTGAGAGGGTGGTTAGACTTAATGGTTTCCATAAAGTTGTTTTCAATAGTTATTTTTCAACAGATGGGCAGCTGTGGGCCACATTTGTGTGCCAGTATGATGATTGAAGTTGTCAACAGATGGCACACAAATACTTGGGGAAACACCCTCCCAGTATTAACTGTGGTATAAAAGACTTGAAGAGTGCCAGGAAAATGATAGTTTGTCTTCCCAAGTCCTTAGCCTCTGCTATTGTCATTATAATTTGGATGATTTGGAAGTTTCCCTTTCTGGCACTTGGATTTATTTTGTAACTGAGTGAACATCTACGTTAGATGATGAAGGACCCTCTGTTGTCAATTCGATAGTCAACATATATTTAGCATTAAATCTCCTTTTGATTATTGATGGATGTTCATAACTTCCTCTTGCTGAGTCATTCGACTTCTGTACCATACATAAAAACTGTAACCTTCCATAAAAATAAACTGTAAGAGACTTTTATGTTCTTTCTGAAAAGTATTGATTTATAAGGGAAAAAAAACCCTCATCAAACTTAGAATTTTCAGACATGCTCATCAATATGAAATCCCCGACCTTCCAAATTACCCCACTTCAATGCTGACCACTTTGTACTGGTTCTGGGCTCAGTAAGTGAGGAATCAGACAGTAAGCAGGGCAGGGGGTCAACGGGGGGGGTATCTGTGGGGGTGTTTGTGTTGTCACAATGACGAAGGGCATTTACTGATATATAGTGACTGGGGACCAGAGTGCCTAGATGTGCACAGCACAGTTTGACACAAGGGAAAATTGTCCTCTGTCCTACTAGATGCCTGAATTTCTGGCTGGACGCTCATCCGAGCCTGGAGATTATGTCTGCTTAAATTAGCTCATAGAGTACGTTTTGCAATACTGTGTTTTTCTCCACAGAATATTAGCACCCACCCATACCTCTGCTCTTTGATTTTATTATGCTGTTGTATGAAAGATTGAAAGACTTCTCATCTTCTGGTTTTGAATCCTGACTTTTTCATGCTCGGTAAGTGCAAGAATATAGATAATTTATTATGTCTTTTTGTGTAGTTATTAACATGGTAAAACAGATATTAATATAAATGTCCTTCCCTTTTCTATTCCAAATTGGGCATCACATTAATATTTTTGAAATTTTGTCTATAGGTAAATAATCTGTGAATTTCTGGATTTAAAGAGAGAATTATAAGATGCTTATTATTATGTCCACTTTTACACACATAAGGCAGTGTTGGAGTCATTCAAAGAAACAGACAAGGGCATGAGTCTAAGACTTTAATAAGGAGTGAAATCCCAGTAAATTCTATCTCCCTTTGCTTCTATGGATGTCTTAAACTGATTTTCTTCTGGCAAGTAGTATCACCTAGATTTTCTTTATGTCTGTCATTACAGATGGCGTTTAATGGTTGCTTTAGTTTGAAGTATCCTGGCAACCCCCGGCCAGGGGACTTGATTGAAGTGTTTCGTCCTGGCTATCAGCACTGGGCCCTGTACTTGGGTGATGGTTATGTGATCAACATAGCACCTCTAGGTAACGTTTGATTCCAGCAGCTCCTGGGATCTTTTTAGTTTTTTTATTACAAGAAAGAATCATGAGCGGAATCAGAAAATTCAACAAAATAAAATGTAGAAAATAGATAAATAAAGCTGATCTAGGCTCAGGGAAGAACATTTTAAGACCAAAGTGGCATTGAAAAAGTCACAGAGGCCAATTAACATTAAAATTTAATCCTTCTGGTTAAAAAAAGAAATATAAGATTCCTGGTCAGGGCACATACCCAGCTTGCGGGGGTGGAGGATAGGGTGGGGGTGGGGAAAAAAGAAAAACACAATTAAAAAGTAAACAATCAGCTGGGAAAAATATTTGCCAAAAACATAACAAGAGTCACTGTTTTTATATAGTGCACAAAAGAATTATTTCAATTCATTCAACATCTATTTATAGATTACCAAGTATGTGCCAAATGCTATTCTAAATGCTGGGGATACATAAACCAGTGCCTGCAGGGTAGAGCTTACCTTGGGGGGGGGGTAGAGAAAGAGGGAGGGAGGGAAAGGAAAGAAGGGAGAGAAATAGAGGGAGAGAGCAGATAGCAATGTTAGAATAAAGGTAAGTAATATGGAAAAAAAAAATCATAGAAGCAAGATAGGAAGTGCTAGAGGGTTAGGGGCTACTATAATTTTAAATGAGGTGGTCAAGAAAATCTTGTAAGAAAGTAACATTTGAGAACTTGAAAGAGATGAGAAAACCAGGAAGATGATATTCAGGAAAAGAGTTTCTCAGGCCAAGTGCACAGCAGACACCCAAATCCCCCCAAAACCAAATAGGTAAAGAGTGATGAACAGTTTGTAGAAGAAGAAAGCAAAAGCTAATACCCAGCTTTAAAGGTTTTAACTTTTTAGTCATCTAAGAATTGTCAGGTAAAATGACAGATTTTATGCCTCTCATATTAGCAAAGGTTAAGAAATGGTAACAGTCATTGTTGATAAAGGTATAATGAAATGAACACAAATATATTATTGATAGAAGTATAAACTGATAAAATATTTTGCAAAAACAATAATATGTGTTAAGAGTCTTAAGAGAGTTCCCATGCTCTGACCCTATGACTGTACTTCTATGAATCTATTCTTGGGAAATATCTAAGAGATATAAACTAACATCTGTATAAGGGTGTTCACATCTATCTCACTTGTAATGGCTTAAAAAAGTAGACAATGGCTTAATGTTCAATAGGGCAATGGTTAAACAAATTATTATTTAGCCACAAAATATTAGGCATCTGTGTTTGGCAGTTGCAAGTGGAGGAAATCAATTTCAAATTAGCTTAAACAAAAAGATAACTCATTGTTTCACAAGGGAGAGTAGAAAGGCAGAGATGGTGCTGGCCTCAGGGATGCTCAAGGGAGCTCTGAGCTCTACCAGGACTCTGCCTCACATCTGCCTTTTTTCCTACCTGTTGTCCTCATTCCCCACAGGCTATGTCTCTCTAAGAAGCTGAACTGATGACCATCAGCATCCTTAGGCTCTTACTCTTACAATCTTGTGACCCAACAGAAAAGACAGCTAATCCTTCGCTGTTGCAGTTAGAAAAATCATGGAGAATGACTCCAATTCATCCAGTGGGGGTTCCCTACCCCTTGCTGGACCACCACGATGCCCAGGAGAATGGGACACTCGTTGGCCTAGATAGTCTTTTCCAAAAAGAAAGAAGCAGTGATGAGATGAGTGGCTAGAACCAGACAGACAAAACAATAGCCACTATAAACCATTAAAGATCTCATTTCCGGACATGTTTAATTGCATGAGAGATGATCCTCGTATGATATTTATTTGAAAATTCCAGATTAAAATGCAACATGTAATATAAAACCCAGTTTGCAAAAAAATAATATACACACACACATGAATACACACACATACATGCACCTCTACGTGTGTTAAGACATACGTATATCAAGATAATAGCAGTTATTTTGGGGTGGCAGAATGGATGATTTATGTTTATGTGTTTATGCTGTATTTTTCTATATTTTCTAAATGTTTAGAAATGAGCACAAATTAATTAGGAAAATATGCAGGTAAGTAGCCTGGAGTATTTTTTTTACTCAAGATACCTTTGAAGAGAAGTGTTTATAGGCATAAGTCTTACTATCTTGAGAACTTTAATGAAGTCATTTTTGCAATATTTTGAAATAGTTGCTGCTTGTTCTAGAATATTGAAAATAGAAATGGCAAATAAAATGACATTTGTGATCCAGAGCTGCTAGGTTCTGCAAAGGCTGGTGACTAACACTTAGCAACTCTCGACATTATTTCCGTGATTTTTACATCTGGAAAACAATATGAGATTTTGGTGCTGTTTCCTTATTTTCATGTCATAAGTTTCATATTAATGTGGTCCATGCACTGAACTATGGTTCTCTAGACTGAATCCCCGTTTATGTTGTTAACTACTCATGTGATATTTTGCAAGTCAGTTTACCTCTACAAGCTTCAATTTCCTCATCTGCAAATTGATTACATCTAACTAGTAAAAAAAAAGTTTAGTAATTCTAACTAGGAGATACATGCTCTAAGAACTTGTAGTATATAAGAACTTTCAATGTGTAAGATTTGGAAATGCTGCTCCAATGAATAGGAGGTTGGCAGATAGAAAAAAAGAAGAGTGGAAAAGAAAGTTTGCTTTCAGTCATCACTAAAAGGAAAAGAGTCTAAACACTGGTTATCTAGACACCCTTCCTCTCGTGATTTATTGGAACAATGGCCAGGTGTAGCCGTCTTGGACAGATAGAGAGGGACTGGAGGCTGGTGTTAGAGCTGAACACTGAGGAATTGCCTGTCCAGCCTCAGAGACTGACTGTGGCAGGCCAGGACACGAAGGTCCCTGGCAGTCTAGGCAAATACTTACCCATAGAGGCAGCTAAGACGTAGTGACAGGGAATGAGGCATTGTAACAGGTGGGTAAGCCACCGCATGAGGCCACATGTAGCAGACAGTCAGGTTCAGGTTTAGAACTTGGCCAAAGAAACTGGCAAAAAAAAAGCAGTGACTCCACCTAACCCCAGCTCACCCCTCAGAGATTTCAAATTGGACCCAACTGAAACCTGGTTGAAAGAATAAATGTAAAATAATGAAGTATGGGTAAGGAATGCAGCTTAGGCACTAGGGCAGCCCTACTGACCATGATGCACTACTGCTAATTCCCAACAATATTAGTTGGGAAGGGTTCACATGCTGAAAAAGAGACTGATTTATAGAAAACACGGGCAAAGGTCCCATCTGTACCATGTTAGAGACATACACCAAGATCTCTAATAATAATACCAACTGATAGAGAATTTATTACTCAAGAAGGGATACAGTTTTTGTACCCAATTTACTCTTGGGGAGATACAAATTTTCCAGTGTTTTCTTGCATTCTCATACAGTATTAAATAAGTGTATTGGTAAGTTACAATGAGTGCTTGAGGCTGGTAAGATTAAGTGATTTCTGGTTTAGGGATAAGTTGGGAACAGAGCCGGGTTCAGTTATCCCAGCGCTTTCAAAGTCTTCGGGTGGCCTTGGTGTTCACTGGGCTGGCTCACTACATCTTGCTAACCAGAATTCTCCTTCCAGGGGATGGCATTCCTGCATCATTTACAAGCGCCAAGTCTGTATTCAGCAGAAAGGCCCTGGTAAAGATGCAGCTCTTGAAGGATGTTGTGGGAAAGGACACATATAGAATAAACAATAAATATGATGAAACGCACCCTCCGCTCCCCATGGATGAAGTCATGCAACGGTCAGAGTTTGTTATTGGACAGGAGGTGGAGTATGATGTGCTGGTCAACAACTGCGAGCATTTCGTGACTTTGCTTCGCTATGGAGAAGGCGTTTCGGAGCAGGTGAGTTTTCTTTCAGTGCTATGTAAGGAGTTGCTTACATTGGGAAAGTAACTGTTGACTATGGTAAGGTTCCTAGGCCTCATACAAAATGACAAGAACAAGAAAATATGAGAACATTGATGGACAAAGCAGGGAATCGAGTTGTCCAAGGCCACGCAGCAAGTTAATGACCAAACTGAGACTAAACATGAATGTCATAAATTTGGGGTAGAAGGGACTTGAAACAGAATCAAGACCATAGTTTTCTGTTAGTCTGTTGCCTTTTGTCTTTCAATATTTCCCCCCATGATCCTGCCTTACATCAGATTTAAATCAGTAATCTTACATACTGAAAAGAATATGCTGAAAAGATGGGTGACTTTTTTGAGTGGGAATCCATTTGCCAAAAACAATGGTAATTGTAATAGTCTTTTTCATTACCTGTCAGAGGAGGCCAACTGATGACATACCCGGGTGGGTTTGTAAATGTTTTCTATCTCCTTGCAATACAAAGTTTCAAAGACATTTTTTGCTTTTAAGTCAATGCTGTGATTCATTGAGATTTCAGATTATTTTTAATGGAGTAACTGACCTTATTTTTAAAGTAGCTTGCAACTTTGTCATTTACCTCCACTATTTTGTGCTATGGCAAACTTCTAACTAAAAACATGCTTGATTCAATTGCCTTTTTCTACCTATCATCCCACCAACTCAGTTCCATCATTGATATTTTAACCTAAAGGTTTTTTAAAGTGTAGAGAATGAATATAGAAAGGCTTCCCGTATCTTGAAATGGTGGTTCAGTTATATAAACATCTATTCTAAGGAATGACGTTAAAATTTTTCTCATGGAAGCTTAGGAAAATGGAAGATGAAACATAAGAAAGGGTACATTTGTTTTCATTAGGAAGTATTTAATTGGAAATTCATTTTTATTGGGAAATACATTAAGGTAATGAATGTATTGCCTACATGGAACAATAAATTGCTTCTGAGCCAGAACACAGAGTATATACACACAAATCACCTTTCATACCCAGAATCAAGACCCATGAAAAAATTAATCATTCCTCAACAGCTAGTAGAGTGCTCCTCAGCTCTGATGAAGATGGTGCAGTGACAGCCTTCAGAACCTTCCTACGCTTTGCAGTCCTGCTGACCTGAGATAGAACTCCATCTTCACCACTTACTAGCTGGGTGACTTTGGACACATTGTTTATCAGTTTCCTAATTTATAAACTGCAGTTGTTTTGTAAATTATAGGAGATATTTGAAATTTCTTAGCATTCTGTATTTTTTTATTTTGTTTTTTCCATCACCATTTACCCCCTCTATACCCCCACCCACTCCCCTCTACCCACAATCACCACACTGCTGTCCATGTCCATGAGTTCTTTTTTTCCCCTGAACATTCTGTATTACATATCATCCATATTAATAAATGCTGGATATTATTCTTAATTGACTATTTTAGGAAGTTTATAGATTATTGGCACTCTTTAATAAAATCTCTACTGATCTAACAGGAAATACAGCACTTGAATAATTATTTTTATTACTGTCAATAATCAATAGTCTTACTATTAGTAATAGCTACTCTTAGATTAGTTTTTTGAGCCCCCTTAAGCCTTAGGGGGTTTGAGTTTACAGTGGTTTCCTTGGGAAATGACTATGTATTTCCTCCAATTAAAAACACTTGTAAATGCATTTTTTTAACATGAGAAAGGTAGAAGGATTGCGGCCCTATCTTTTTCTTCTTTGTGCTTTTCTGGATATTATAACCTTGCAGGTCAGATCCCATTGCATACAAATCCAAGGGATTGTTCAAATTACATGGGATTTTACCATCTAGACTGCAACTTGAAATAAGTGTTTGGGATCTGGGGAAATGAGTGCACTGCCTAAGTGGCTTTAGTATTATAGTATCTGGCCTGTGCAATCTTTGGTTTAGGATCCCTTGGCCTCTTAGATTTATGGGATTTCTCTCACATGTTGTTTTTCTAAGTGGCTGAAAAATACCCAGTGAGTTAAGTCTGCATCTAGCTGGGGCCCCGCTTACCCACAGGACCCTGAGTTTTTCCAGGGCTGGACCCTGCTGTCATTTGACACCTCTGTTTAAAGACACCAAAGGCACCTTCCTGTTTTTCATTGTCTGCTACGTTTCCCTGCATCAAACCTTTGGGGGGGCTCAGCATTTGCCTGGAATTGTATGAGGGTAGGGCTTGATTTATCTGTGATCCCTGTGTGATTATTGGTTCTGCCCGTCTTTGGAATTCTGTCCTGTACCTTGTGTCTCCCTGCTCCTTTTAGCACCCCATGTGCTATGTGGGTTGCTCTATGCTCTCTCCTGGAAAATAACTTAGGTAGCGACTAATTAAAAATTACAAATAAAATAACCAACCAGAAATAAAATTAGAATTGTAAACTAACATAGGATTTGTCCGTTGTTTGCCAGTACCATTCTCCCTGGCAACCAGGTGGCAGAGCAGGGAGTTACAATCTCAGGCCTTGTCCCTGCAGCCCTAAGGGTGGTGGCCTGCAGTGAACACGCCTGTCATGCACTTCTTTCCTGGCCCTGACTCTTTCTGCCTGTTCCCAGCTGGGAGGCTGCAGTTAGAGAGGCAGCCTGTGTGAGTACCGTAGGGGTGGCAGGCTCGGGGAGGGGGAGGCATGGGGTAGACTGGGCATGTGCAAGTGTGAGCTGGGTCAAGTTTTCCAGCATTGGGGCTGGTCTCCAGCGTCACTTGGGGAAAATATTTTGTCTCAGAGCCTGATTCTTAAATTCCAGAGAACAAGTGTTTTCAGAACACTTGATACTGAAGTATCCAATTGTGACCTTTGGGTCACAAAATTGCACTCAAACCCATGCAGATGGAAGACGATATTAGCGGAGTACCATGAAAACCATGAATATTCACTAGATCCCTCAAGATCATGATGATTAATACCCTTAAAACTATAACTGTCTGAACTCCTTTATGGACAATTGAACTTGAGAGTGGTTTATTTTAGTTTGTCTACATGGAAAATTAAGTTTTGACATGATAATTAACATCAGTATTGACTTCTTTTCAAGTTTATCAGAATACAAATGGTATCTACCAAATAAGAGCTTACGGGTATCTAGCTCAGATCACATCTTGAATTATTTTGCTAACAGACATTCTTGAGTCAGGGAAAACACACACACACGCGCGTGCACACACACACACACACACACAATTCACCCTGGTATAGATCCAACCAAACCAGTGTGTGTATAGGGTAGTGTTGTGTAGAGGGTAAACATATGGTTCAAGAGTCAACTTATAGCTAAACATTCTGGCCTTAAGACCTCGGGCAAATCACATTTAACTTCTCAAGTTTTGCAAAACAGGAGTAATGCTACCTCCAGGGATACTGTGATGATTAGTAGGGGTTGTGATAATGAGTTTATTAATGGGCAGGGGCTATAAAAATATGAGGATTATATATATGTGTGTGTGTGTATTCATCTATATCTTGTCATAATTATAAAAATTATAAATTTGTTCCTTCATCTTCAGTCAAAATTTAAATTTTGCTTCGAGCTTTAAATTTATCTGTTTACATTAAGATGGGTCTTCGGTTTAAGAGGCCACCTAAAGGTTGGGTTTAGGACACTGAGATGCCTTTAGAATGAAATGTGTTTTTTGTTTGCCTGTCATTTCTTTATAGGCCAACAGAGCAATAAGCACCATTGGGTTTGTCACAGCCGCTGCTGGTGCCTTCTCGTTCCTGGGCCTGTTTTCAAAAAGACAAAGAGCAAAATACTATTAACAATTTACTGAAGAGATATTGGAACTGAAGACATTTGTGAGGAGGGAAAAGAAATCGCTGGGATAAATACTTATTTTCAATGCATCATTATTGTTTCAAACTCCAGTGATGGATGGCCGGCTCTTTAATAAATTGCTTACTGATATTATCTCATCACTGAGCCAAGGAAATGTTTTTCCCTACGAGCATAGATTTTCTGTGGCAGCTTGAACACAAAGCAGTAGCCTTTTGAGGGAGCCAGCGGAGGATCTTAACAAAATCACATTATATTTTATCTTCTACTATAAATATTATTTTCCTTTTCCCTAAGGGTGGCTATTTTGTATTTGCCAGAGGGAAGAACAGATTATATGTGATATTGAAAAAAAATGATAAGAGCTCCAAATTGTTAGGGCTGACATCTAAATTCATACTCCTTTTCTGGCCAGAAAAGAAACTGGTACATTCAGCATTTGGTTGGGCAGTTTGGGGAACCTGGATTAACAAGGCATTTGAAGGTGCGCGGCCATCTCCCATGTCCTGTGGAGATGGGCGGGGAGAGGGATGGGTGGGAAAAGGGGCTCTTTGCTGCAGCGTTTCCAACCCAGTGATTTCCCTGGAAACAACTCATTTATCAGAAGTCTGTGACAAGCAAGAATGGGCTGTTACTTTTACCTACGTTGTTCCCTTTGGGTTTTGAAGTATTTCAAGGGTTTTAACCTTAGAAAGAGATCGTTAAAGTAGGTTCAAGGTGCCATATTTAGAAAACAATATCCCACATCACTTTTTAAAGGCTTTTACTGTAAGTCAAGGAGAGTTGTGATTTTATTGATTATATGTTGAATGAAACAAATTACTTTTTAATACCTTTCCAGTAGAATTCTTGTTGGCAGCGGGTGGAAGAAAATGGTTGCAGGTCTCTTTACCCTAAGATTTTATCAGACATTCTAACATTGCCCTACAAAAGACAGTAGCAGCCAATGACATCCTTCATGTGACATCACTGAAAACATGGCATTAAGTAAAGGGAATGCTCAAGTAAATTTTGAGGGGTGTGTGCAACAAAGGAACTATGACTATGGTAGATAAAGGAACAGAAGACTCAAGGAAAGACTTGGACCTATTAATGCAGGGTGAAGAGTGACAGCAGCAGGGGTCGTGCACCCCAGCCAGGGCCAGTAGAGACCTGACCTCTCTTCCTAGTTCCCCGACTTTTCCTTTTGCTTTCTTATGGTGCCAGCTCGGCTTTCCAGATAACCCCAAACCCTCTCTTCTTCATCCCTGGGCCTCTGAGGCGGTATGGGTGTCCCCTCCCAGACGCCGTGATCCAAAAATACCCCTTCGTTCTGATTCTAAATTTAATTTAGTTTCTTTTGTGTCCTGGTGTCAAGTAATAGTTTAAAAAATGAGCACTTTTCTAGTATTGTCAAATTAGTGTGAGATTGATGGCAGTTTAATGTGTTCTCTCTCCCAAGATGTCTTTACCTTTTAATAAAGGTGACTTCAGAGGGCAAATCTTAACCCAAAACTGGAGACTCGGGTGTGGTGGAATCACAGCAGTGGCTGATGGGGGCAGGCGCAGAATGGAGGAGAGACCTTTTGAGAGTCCTCATGTCAAACCTCTCTAAATAACTCTGGACTTCTCCACTCCAGAAGACAGTCCTCGCTGTGCTAGATAATATCACAAATGCACTTTAAAACTAAATTCATGGATTAATTTTTCACATTTGTAGTGTTCCAGGTTCCAGTAATTTTCACCCTTGAAGGTAAGCTCACAAAGTTAATCATCAGCGTTCCCATAGAAAAAGCCACTCCTGTCCTGGCCGGTGTGTCTTAGTTGGTTGGGCGTCTTCCCATGTACCAGGGGGTCCCCGGTTTGATTCCCCATCAGGGCGCATGCGGGGTTGCTGGCTTGATTCCCAGTAGGGTGAATGCGGGAGGCAGCAGATCGATGTTTCTCTCTCTCCCTCTCCCTTCCTCTCTCTCTAAAAATCAATAAAAACATATATTTTTAAAAATTGCCATTCGTGTTGATGGTCAGCTTTAGTCAGTGAGTTTGTTTTTCTCTAGGTCAGCAATTTTCAACCAGTGTGCCGTAAGAATTTTTAAGACATGCACTACCTGACTATTTAGTCAGAGGAACTGACCTCTTTTCCCTTAGATTGTCAAATAAAATGACAATAGGCCGCACAATACCCGTCAGTGTGAATGAATGAAAATTATACTTTTTTTTTGTCAGATAGGCAAAAATACATTTTTTGGTGTGCTGCAGAATTTGAGTAATTAGTTTATGTGTGCCATGAGATGAAAAGGTTGAAAATCACTGCTGTAGGTGATCATTTGACACGTGGCCATGCTCACTGTGCTTTTATAGAATGTTTTTTCCAAGACTATTAAACCTTTCTCTGAGCAAATGTTCAGCAAAGTTAAGTATAGAGTTCAACTTAGTCATGTTCCACCTCCACAAAGGTATGTGAAATAAAGATTATCACCTATCAGACACCAAAAAGATTGTTTGAAAAACTGGGGCAAAAAATAGGTGTACAATTATTAAATCAAGAATTTAAAAAACCTTTTAATGCTATCTAAATGTCACAGGCTATCAACTGACTCTTCTTGCTCCAAAGGTCAAATTCCTAAATACAGATATAACAGTTCAAGGTACCCAAGTTACATATTTTTTATGTTGGCATATTTTTTCATAAGATAAATCTTTTTATCCTTTATTAGGAGCCACTAAATTAGACACATTTTGAAAATTAGTGCTCTCCAAGAGCTGTGCACAAAAAAAAAAAAAAAGTTAAAAAGCATATAAAATGTAAATATACAGGGTTTTTTAAAATAGAAATTTGTATTTATGCTGCTGGTTTGTGTAACAAAGTATATAACCCTATTTACAGAAACAAATTGCTGAAATGTTAAAAAAATTGTTTTCAATTCTAAAGGTTTCAGAATTGTAAATACATTATCGAAGCCATAGGTCACATTGTTCTGCACATTAATTGTCGCTCACCGATGGGCCTGCTTACCTAATTGCTTACGAACTGTTAAAGGTCTGTTAAATTAGCAAAATTAGATCCGTTGTTACACGTAGAGCCTAGTAGATACTATACAATATCCACTAGGGATAAATGTCCTCTCAAGGTCACAGTGCGGTTGATATGTACACTAAAGGTAATAATGTACACAGTATATTTGTAAAGGATGTACCCTTTCTTGTGGTTACTAATGTGCTTCAATAATTGATTTGGATAATGAAAAGATGAAGTGAAACTTAAGGTGGTTTAATAGCCTGATAATTGTCATGCTGTAGATACAAACATTATGGGTCCCTCCTGTAGGACTGTGTTTTAAGATGAGCAATGTGGAGTTTGGGACACCTTTTAGAATTAAAAAACAAACAATACTTGAGGATTTCACCTGTCAGTAATAAAGAGTAGATAAAGGTGCTATGCTTCTTTTACTTAAAATAGTACATTTTAACAGTTTATTTCATTACCTTTGTGATCTACTCTGGATCTAGCTCATTGGCCCCCAAACAGTCTGTTTTGGGAGATGCCGTCTTCAGTGGAGTTTGCTCAGACCCTAGCTGTGCCCAAGCCAAGGTTATATGCGATGAACAGAATCCTCCATCATTCCCCACTCCCACACAGCTCCAGCTTACTACACTTAGAGCTGAATTTTCTGAAGTAAATGTCAATTTTGTTTCTCTATTACAACCATACAAAAAAAGCAAAAAGGAATTTTATGACCTTGGAAAAATATGTGTAAATAAATGTTCATTTCAAGTGAATGTAAGGTTAAGTAAACTTGTGACAATTTATTGAGAGATTTATTTTTTTTCAGATGCTTTTCTTTCCCTAGATGAGAATAAAAATATATATGTGAAACTTTCAAAGACCGAATTCTTTTGCAATTTCCCTTTTATTGATGTTCATGCTATTAATGTCACTACTGTGAAAAGTTGTGCATTTTAACCAAGATGATGCTATATAATGTGAATAAAGATTATTTTTAAAAAGATAATCTGGGCAATGTATTTTTTCTCAGTGGTAAAGGATAGGAAACAGTAAACATAAGCATATTTAAGTTCCTTTGTTGCAAAGCTCAATAGACTGAGAAATGTGCTTTGACTCCGCAGCTGGAGACAGAAAAGACAAAGGTAAACATTCTCACTTCTCCGCAGTGCTTAGGTTTCTGGGAAAAGGGGGAAGCTGTTAAGCATGTGCAACAACAATTCTGATTACAGTCTAGTCCAAAAATGCTGTTCTGGGGCCCCGCCTCCCCATCTGAGCTTTCCCCTTGGAATCTGCTCGGGGCTTTCATAGCCTCGGTTGACGTAGGATCCATTTTTGCCATCGCCGGAATAGTCCGTCTTGTTTGTGGGAGGCCAGGTGCAGTCTTCTGCCAGCTTCTTTTGCCAGTTCCTATACTGACTTTTCGAATAGAATCCAAATTTTTTTTTGATCAATAGCCAGAGCTCTCGATTTTGAAGGATGACATCCTGGAAAATCGGTGGGAAAAAACCCCAACCATCACCCACTCCCCCCGCTGCCCGGTCACTGCCACCACATGCGGCTCCCCCAGCCCCCTGAGTCGGGCGCACTGCTGTGGCTGTGCTCACGCCTCCTCCCTGCAGGCCCAGGGAGCCTGGCCGGTCCCCTCCCTTTCCCTTGGGAAGCAAGGGCGTACTTGTGTTCACAGAAATCTGCTGAGAGTACATTTCATTTCCACAGATTCCTAGTTAAATCCTGGCTGTGGATTCACTTAGAATTCTTTTACTGCCCGACTGAAATGCCAGCTAGGGACCGTACGCAGTACTGCACTCCAGACCAAGGAAAGGAGACAACCACGGCTACCTGCCCCGCGTGCACAGGGGCCAGGTAAAGGTTTGTTGAATGAACGACTGGACTCTAGCAATCAAATGGATTTTGTTTTCCATTTGGGGGGCTCTCTTTTTTCTACGTTCACATGCACACAAGTTTTACACATAACAGAATTAGTCAAATTTTGCATCCCACTTTTGTTTATACTAGACTTTCATAGGCAATTCGTAGCTACAGTCTTCTTAATCTTTTTAATGATTGTATAACAATTCTTCAGATTGCTGTATAACTATCTAAATAAACAGCGTCTTTACTTTTGAACACTGGAGCTAGTCTAATATTTTACCA